TTCTGCTAAGGAGGACTAGGCTAATGATATTTAGGTAACATGTAGCTTTCTGATGGTCTAGCTATCTCCCTTGATATAAGAATAGATAGATTTCAGTGATACTTAGAATGTTTTTTCCTTAGGTGTTTCTTAAAAATCACTTTCTCAGTGAGGCATTTAATGAGAGCAGGACAGCAACAACAACAACAAAAATTGAGGTAATGGTCTGCCGAGGTCTTTGAATATTAAAATTTGAATATTGAAATTGTTGACTAAGGATCCATATGCTTTGAAAACAGGGAAAGTTGAAGTTAATATCCTGGCATGGAATTCCGACCAATATTCCCCACCTAATAGACAGGTTGTTTTCCAAATTAGTTCATATCATTGTATAGAAACTACATCTTTATGTAGAAAAATTTAGCTTTCTTTCTTTCTTTCTTTTTTTTTTTTTTGTAAAAAGGGTTTTTGGTCACCTAGCTTAACTTTTAAGGGTTTCCTCCCTCCCCCACCTTCCCCTACTCAATCCCAGCTTCAGAATCTCATAGAGTATTCCCTGACCTCCCAAATAAAAATTGTTTGGATAAAATTTTCTTTGGAAGATATGTCATTAATACATATTTTTAAAAAATTTCCTGCAAAGATCTGTTTCAGCTTTATTATAAGCAAAATAAAGATGCTATATTCTCTTCTGTGGTTTTTATTCTTGGATCTGCACAGTTGTTGAAATTTCCCTTGTTGAGAGGGTAGAAGAGCTATGGTATTTGAATAACAAAAACAATAAAACAAAAACTGCTACCAGTATCCTTTATTGAGTATCTTCTATATGCAGGTATTGTGCTAAACTCTTTACATGTGTTATTTTATTTAACTTTCACATAATAGACAGAGCCTATTATCATCCCCGTTTTAATAATGAGAAAACTAAAACTCAGGTTGCCCTGAACTTATATAACTAATAAGTGGCAGCAGCAGGATTTGAACCCAGATCTCTCTACTAGCTTTTAACCACGACGCAGTGTTGCCTGTGAAGGAAATCTGAATATTCATGCATTAGCATTTGAGGTCATTATATCATTTCTTCTTCCTGGTGTTTCTGGCAAAAATTGCCGCAGGATCATGATCCTTTGGAATGCTCTTAGATTCTGGCTTAAATGAGTTATTTTTCTTTAAAAAACATAATTTTTCTAAAAAATAAAACCCAATTTAGAATTGCTCATATTTTTATAGCAGAATAATTATACCTTAACTTCTATTCTTAGAGCTTTCTTTAATAATGAATTTTGAATATCTTCTTTGGAACGGGACCAGAGTCATCTTCCAGTCATAACTGAAAGTTGAACAGTTTCATTTGTTTCTTAAAAGAGCTTACTCACCTTGGTAATGGCTTTGTAGTCTTCCACACTTAGCATGCCCGCATGCGGAAATAAAAAATTACTTGTGATGATGAGACTTGGCTTAATACCTCTATAATTGCTATGTCAGTGAACACTGTAGCCAACAGCCACATGTGACTATTTAAATTTAAATTAATTAAAATTATTACAATTAAAAATTCCGTTCTTAGCCACATTTCAAATGTTAAGTAGCCACATGTGGCTACTACTGTATTAGATAGTGCAAATTATAGAATATTTTCATCGTCACAGGAAGTTTTCTATTAATAGCAGTGCTGCTCTAGAATGTACCTTTTTCAGGTCCCCTCCCCTGCCTTCCTTGTGTCCCCAAAACAAAATGGCTTTCTCCAAAAATGACCTCTATAGCTTTCATAATTAGGGAGACAGTTTATCTTCCCAATGATTTCCTATAATATTTGACATGAGAAATTTTTGTTGGCCCGCAGTTAATATTTCTGTGGGACAAGGACAGCATGGTAACCCAAACTGAGTTCATCTTACTAAAATGGCAAGTCCGTAGAGCCAGCTAGTTTTTATTTGCCAGATTTCATATTGAGCCAACGTCTTCAATTATTAGAAGCATTTATAGACTCTGTTTTGTTGAATTACTTCAAAGACTACTCTGATCCCTCTTGGATTTATTGTTCCAAATGATGTTGTCATCAAACCTTACAGCAAATGTAAGCTTCTATAACAGATTTGGTCATCTTATTGATATGCTCCACAAAGACGTTGCCTCCTTCTGTTAGTCTGTATTATTTTGGAAGAAAAAAATGTTTTGTGTAAATCGTATTCCTTTACTGTATCCTGGTTGGCTTTGATTACTCTTAAAAGAAAGAGATGTATTTTCTTCACTGTCTTTTCATTTGTATGTTTTAAATAATCTGGGTACGTGGACATATTGATTTAGGCCAACGTGGTGCACTCAGGCCTACAAGGAATGTACCAGCATGGCATTGCTCTTGAGTCCTCCCTCTTACGTAGGTAAATTTCTTTGGTCTGTCTTTTCCGTAGTGGTATTCTATAATAAGCTCCTGTGAGAAATTTGTTGAATATGTTGTTTGCCAATGATATTCTATTGCTTTAGTATATACAACAGTACACTGAACATCTTTGCTGTGTGTAAAATAGTCCTTGAAAGTTGTCTTTTTCCAAAAGAGCTAAGCAGTGTGCGATACTCAGTAGTGTCAGGTTTGCACTCTTCGTAAGAAATAGGCAACTGCTTTCCTTCTCTCAGCTGTACAAATATCTGGTTGAGAGAACAGACCTCTGTTCAGAATGTTCCTGGTCACTGGATACCTCATTACTGAGGCCTTATATTAACCATTATTGTTCCAGTTTCAAGGATTTAAGGCCATTTCCCAAGTTCAAAAAAGTTGTAATCCGTATTAGTAATTGTGAAGCAAAATGATGGGGTGCCTGGGGCAGTACATTATATTACTCTCCACTTTTGTGTAACTTTGAAAGTTTTTTAAATAGTAAAGAAATGTCACGAGTTATTTGTGTTTGTGCTATTGAATTGTATGAGTTCCTTATATATTTTGGAAATTAACCCCTATCAGATGTATGGTTTGCAAATATTTTCTCCCATTTCATAGTTGCCTTTTCATTCTGTTGATTATTTACTTTGTTGTGCAGACACTTTTTAGTTTACTGTAGTCCCACTTGTCTATTTTTGGTTTTCTTGCTTGTGTTTTTGGTGTCATATCCAAGAAATCATTGCCAAGAGCAATGTCAAGGATGGGCAAAAGACTTGAATAGACATGTCAACAAAGAAGACATACAAATGGCCAACAGGTATATGAAAAGATGCCCAATGTCATTAATTGTCAGGAAAATGCAAATCAAAACTACAATGAGATATCACCTTATATTTCTTAGGTTGGCTATTATTAAAAAAATAAAATTAAGTGTTGGCAAGGTTGTGGAGAAATTGGAACCCTTGTTGGCAAGGTTGGTGGGAATGTAAAATGGTGCAACAGCTATGGAAAATGGTATAGAGAGCTGCCTCATAAAATTAAAAATAGAAGCATAACCATATGATCCAGCTATCCCACTTCTAGGTATGTATCCAAAAGAATTGAATTCAGGATCTTGAAGAGATACCTTGACTCCCATTATAGCACTATTCACAATAACTAAGATATGGAAATAACCCAAGTGTCCAATCACAGATGAATGGATAAAGAAAATGTGGTATATAATACAAAGGAATATTAGTCAGCCTTTAAAAAGAGGGAAATCCTGCCATTTGTGACAACATGGATGAAACTGGAAGACATTATGCTAAGTGAAATAATAAGTCAGCCATAAAAAGACAAATACTGCATGAGTCCACTTATACAATATCTAAAATAGTCAAACTCATAGAAGCAGAGAACACAATAGTGGTTGCCAGTGGCTGGAGGGAGAGGGAAATTGTTAAGTGGGGAGTTGTTATTCAATGGTTATCGTTTCACTTGTGCTAGATGAATAAGCTCTAGAGATAGGCTGTAAACATAGTGCCTATAGTTAGTAAGACAGTATTGTATTGTGTACTTCAAAATTTGCTAAGAGGGTAGATCTCATGTTAAGTGTTCTTATCACAAAAACCAAAAACAACAAAAACCCCACAAAGGAACACCAGGAAACTCTGAGTGATGTTGGATATGTCTACTACCTTGACTATGGTGATAGTAATCACAGATGTTTGCATAGCTCCAAACTCATCAAATTGTACACATTAAATATGTGCAGTTCTTTGTATACCAACTATACTTTAATAAAGCTGTTAAAGCTTATTTTAATTTAAAAAATGCCATGAGCATTTGGGTGAATTTAATACAGTTGTTTTTGCTGTTCATAAGAAGGGATCTTATTAAAATCAAAATTTGCTCTAAGATTCATTAAGAGTTCTTTGGGAGCTGTGTCTTAGTTGAATGTCAGAAGTTTAATAAACCAATGAGGAAATGTTCTACCTTATTTAAAGGTAGCAATAAGTTACTCTTCCACACCCACTCTTGATGCATCACAAAGGTTGGCAAGATGATATTGTTCTACAAAACAATTACATTTATGTAATATTGTCTTATATATTTATATTTCCCTAATCACTAGGTTATTTCCTTACTATTTTGTTTTGATGAGTGTTGGGGTACAGGGCATACATGTCCACAAGTCACCAATTTTAGAAACTATTTCCCTGACTTGGGTTTTTTTTTTTTAATCACCTCACATCATGCACATGGCTGCACAGCAAGAAAAGGATTAAAGAAAATACTTATAACGAATAACAGATTGTCATTCTTCTATATTACATTTTTAGTAGCATTGATTCCACTGAAATTCTCTTTTGATTCCCTCATTCAATATTCAATAGCAATAATGTTTTCAACACACACACACACACACACACACACACACACACACACTCACTCACTCACTCACTCACTCACTCACTCACTCACTCACTCTCCTCAAGCTGCCAGTCTGTTTTAAGGCCGTGGCAGACGCCTGATTGGCGGGCTCTGTTTATTCTGTGACCAGATTCCTTCTAAAAGGAGGCAGGCCATGACTGCCTGAAGCCTATTGGCCAGAACTGCTCTGGACCCGCCCTTTCTTTTTCATGGCACACACCACAGCGAAGTCAGTGCGGAATCCTAAACCAGCCCAATTTACATCCATTCATGAATCTGTGACGTCAGCAAGCCTTCGGGCTCCTTTGCGGTGGGCTGGAGGATTGTGTGGGTGGAATCCCCCTCCCCCTTATTTTTCTAATTCTGCAAGGTTTTAAATTAAACCTTCCATCTTTTTAAAGCAAGAAAATGGAACTGCATGTGTAGGAATTCTTCATTGTTGTGAGTACCGCACTCTATTTTTTTTCTGTTTCATCAGCATGTATTTCGCAAGGACAGATGGAAAATCTATTTGTGATTTGAGGTGATTAGAAAGCTGATATTATTGAGGGAGACAAGGTGGGAGAGACAGACAGACAGAGACAGAAACCTGAAACCCCGTTACAGCTAAGGAGCCTCCGAAGCTGACAGCTGGTTTTCCCGTGCTTGTCTGCCTGCTAGACGTGGACATTTTTCCTTTACGGCTCTGCACGTTACCTCTGGGTGCTGGCTTGGCTTTCCGTAAAGGGGGATTCATTTCTCTGAGAGATGACAGAGACTGTATTAGAGGAAACCGGAACTGATACTAGAAAGGTGCTGGGGAAAGCCGGGCCAGCTAGAAGGAGCAGGTTCTGTCCTGCTGAGCACTTGCCTTCCTTTCTGTGTCTCACCCTTCACCTTGCCTTTGTTTCATAATTGTGTGACAATCAATATCTTGGGGCTGCAATTTGGGGAAGATGAATACTTATCCAACCATTTTTTGCAAAAGCTTTTATAATGGGAGCTGTAATGCTGTATGTATACATCTTTGTAGCTTTTTATGTCACTCTGTACCTTTTATTTATAGTTTAAAAAACTTAAAAGCCTGCTCCAGAAGCAAAAGGGGAATTAGCCTTAAATTCTGATATTTTTTATATTCCCTTATGAAAACAAAGAAGTGGTTTCTCAATATATTTCCATCAGATTGTGTAGAAATGCACATGAGTATTTTGCTAAGATACTGAAAATAGTTTATTTCAGAGTGTTTGGGAAACATGGCAAAGTTCTGATATGTTCCATGTATTATTAAGTTGGTTTGATAGCTTGCTTGGAGTTTTAACAATTAGTGAGTGTGTGTGACTGAATTTGTTTTCTAAGGCTCTGCTTGATTCCAGTAAAGAAGAGGGATATGACATTGTGACATGTTCTGCCCCTGGGCAGCTCCTCAACCCAAATAATAGAATAGCATTTTCCAACTGCCTTACTTTGAACAATTTATGTTCTAGTTGGCAGCCTGTACCTGGTTGTTCTTTTCAGTGAGAGAGAAAGCAAAATGTCTGTTATTTCTTATCATCCACCCTTATCATGTTTACCTTGTATACTTAAGTTTCAAGAATTTCATATTATAATCTTTTCTCATGAAACAAGGCTCTAATTATGGCTCTAATGCTATCTTTTGAATTTTCTTACTAATGAATCTTCCAACTGTAAACTCATTGCATTTCAAAATTACTCGAGGATTTAGAATTTTCTTTTGTTTCTCATCTTGACATTGCCCTCACACATGTCACTTTTCTGAGTGGATGTGAGCTCACTAGAGTTATAGAAGGGAAAACTTCTGCCTGAGTCTAAACCAGGTTTTTATCCTATATTCAGACAACTATGGTTTCATATTTTGCTATTTGTTATTTGCTGGGTTAACAAATGACACAGTTCCCTATATTTGTAAACATCTGGACTCATTTCAGCATTTGTGTGTGTGTGTGTGTGTGTGTGTGTGTGTGTGTACCTTCAGAGACTTTTAAAAGGTAGCAATTTCAAAGCTATTTTAATTTACTGAAGTTTACCAGATCACACTGTCAGGTCAAAACACTGAATTCTTAGGGTTTTTTAAAAAATGGGCTTAATAATCAAATTCACCTTAAGAAATGTTCATCAGACTGTTTTTTATGTCCATATTGCCGAGAGAGCTTTATTTCCATGAAAGAAATACAGTCTGCTCTTTGGACTTGGTAAAGTAAACCTGCCTCTTTAAGGCACAGAGTGGCTATAGAAACTCCCTCTCTCTCTCCACTCCTAGTGGCTGTATTCTAGATTATATTTATTTTCATGTATAGTGTACTTGTAGGGAAAAAAAAACAATAACTCTTAATTGTTTAATATCAAACAATAAAATCCTGTGTATCAGTGACTGTCAATAGATGGCTTTCTGTTTAAAAATTGAAGCTACTCCAGAAGTAGGAATTAATTTATTTAGTAAACAAAGTCAGCCAAACCAGAGCCATGTCCTGGGGAACTGTCAAAAGAATGGTTCCTAAGGGCCAGAGGCCACATCCACTGGTATATGACGGAACAATTATACGTTGGATGGCAGAACCGGTCAGTTTGGTTTGCATTGTCGACCTACCCTCTCTCTACGAGCTACAACTGAATTAGTTGCTTGGGGAGTTCAAATGAATTGAAATAGCCAAGATGACCAATTCTGCCAGGTGCTGGCCTGATTCTTGTAATTTTAGTTGAAATAAACAACATTTCTTAAGAATACTCTTTTACTTTAAAAAAAAATTAAAGATATCACACTCCTTGCTCTGTTAGGTATTATTTCTTAAGGATATGGGGGAGAGAAACATTTAGAAGATGCCATCTTTACCCCTAAGGAATCTAGAAGGTAAGCTACCATATGACATATATTGTGTTGTAGTTCAGAAATTGGTCTCTGTAAATAGACTTTAAGATTAGAATTACCTGGGGAACACTCTCTCTCTCTCTCTCTCTCTCTCTCTCTCTCTCTCTCTCTCTCTCTCTCTCTCTCTCTTCCTCCCTCCCCCTCCCCCCTCCCCCCTCATCATTGGTTTTTAGTATATCTAGAGTTGTTCAACCATCACCACAATCCATTTTAGAACATTTTCATTATTGCAGAAAGAAACCCCATACATATTAGCAGCCACTCCTCATTTCCCCTCAAGCCCCCAGCCCTAGGCAACCACTAATCATCTACTTTTCTCTATACATAGATTTGCCTATTCTGATCGTTTCATATAAATGAAATCATAGATATGATTTTTTGTGACTAGTTTCTTTTGCTTAGTATGAATTTCCAAAGGTCACCTATGTAGAACATATCAGTGCTTCATTTATTTTATTACTAAATAATATTCCATTTTACAAATATACCACATTTTATTTATCCATTCATCAATTGATGGACATTTGAGTTGTTTCTACTTTTTGGCTATTATGAATAATGCTGCCATGTAAATTTGTGAAAAAGTCTTTGTGTGAACATGTTTTCATTTCTCTTGATTATATACCTAGCAATGGAATTGCTGGGTCATATGATAACTATATGTTTAACATTTTCAGGAAATGCCAAACTGTTTTCCAAAAGCAGCTGCACCATTTTACATTCCCACCAGCAATGTATGAGGGTTTATATTTCTCTACAACCTCTCCAACACTTATTATTTTTCTTTTTGATGAGAGCCATTTTAGTGAGTTTGAAGTAGTATTTGTTTGTGGCTTTTGTTTTCATTTCCCTAATGGCTGATGATGTTGAGCATCTTTTCATGTGTTTACTGGCTACCTGTGTTTCTTCTCTGAAGAAGTGTCTAGTCAAATCATTTGCCCATTTTAAAAATTAGGTTGTTTATCTTTTTATTTTTGAGCTTAAGTGTTCTTTATGTGTTCTGGATACAAGTTCTTTATCAAATATATGGCTTGCAAATATATTTTTTCATTCGCTGGGTTGTCTTTTTACTTTCTTGATGTCGTTCTCAGCACAAAATTTTTTATTTTGATGAAGTTCATTTTTTTCTTTTGTCGCTTGTGCTTTTGGTGTCATATCTAAGAAGGCTTTGCCTAACCCAAGATTATGAAGATTCATTCCTATGTTTTCTTCTGTAGGAGTTTTATAGTTTTAGGTCTTATATTTAAGTCTGTGATCCATTTTGAGTTCATATTTGTGCATGGGTTCAATTTCATTCTTTTGAAGGAGGATATCCAGTTCCAGCAATATTTGTTGAAAAAACTGTTGTTTCCCCTCATTGAATTGTCTTGGCATCCTACCAGGGAACTTTAAAAAAAATACTGTTGCATGCTCCTACCTCCAGAGATCCATATTTAATTAATCGGTGATGGGGCCCAGACATCTGCATTTTTAAAAGCTCCCCACATGATTCTAATATGCAGTGAGAGCTGAAAACTATTGGCATGGACTGAGAGCTAGTCTTAGAAAAGAAGAGGGACACGACTTCTGAATCAGGAGAGAGAGGATGAGTGAAGACATAGGATTCTGATATGGAAAGGAGGGAAGAGAGGAAAATTAAGAAGATTCATACCAGAAAGCATGGATTTTCTTGCTAAGTAGGAGTTAGTCACTTTTTTTTTTACAAATTTTGGGAGGGTTGTATTTATTATTTTTTTTATTTTTAATTTTTTTATTGTTAGTTTCAGGTGTACAGAGCAATGCAATAGTTATCCTTTTCACCCTTCGCATAGAAACAACTCCCCTCCCCCATCTACTACCCTCCCACCCCCGATATCATACTTACCTATTACAATTCCATTGACTCCATTCCCACACTCTATTCCACATCCCGTGACTGTATGTATATATAATTATACTTGACATACATTATTATTCAACATCAGCTTCAGAAATATAGTGTGGTCACTTTTAAAGAGAGAGGGGATCACTGGAGGTTAGTGAAATATATTAAATTAAAGGAAGAGAAAGAACGAACATTTAAGCAACTTCTACACACCTATAAATCTGCTAGGAGCTTTCACATACATTATTTTATTTAAAATATAATCTTAATGATGTGAAGTACATATTATTACTCCCATTTTACAGATGAGAATACAGGCTCAGAAAGGTGGCTGACTCAGCCAAAGACACCAGGTAATGCACGTTCATACCCAATTTTCAAAACCAGCTCTAATTCTTAAGTTCATTCTCTTTCTTCTGTGTACCATGGATTATGAGCTCTGAGTTCTACCAGGAGTTGTTATTGGTCCAGTCCAGCATGAATCTAAGATCTCTTCTAGCAATGCTGTGGACTGGACAAAGAGTAAGATGAGTTGGATGGTGGGGCTAATATAAGGATAAGTGTTGGCATAGCAGGTGCAGTAGAAGATAAGAGGGTAGGAGTAAATGAAGATTATCATGTGATAGCTAATCATGGAGCCCAGGCTGACTATATTCTGCCTAGATGTAGCTGGAAGAAAAAATTCTAAGAAGATGGAGGGCCAATATGGAGGGCATGCAAGAATGATTGTAGGGAATAGTGGGGTGATCATGATGGAAAAGAGGATATATCAAATAGAATTGGGAGGTGTAGAAGTGTTCATTTAATCAGCAAATACCGGGGGTGCCAAAAAAATGTATACACATGACTTGTATTCACCTTTTGTTATTGGTATATACTGAGTATTACAATTTTAATACATGTTTTCCTTTCTCAAAAGGGTGTACATTTTTTGCACCCTCTGTATTTATTGAGCGTGTACTTTGTTTTTCTAGATATTGGTTACCCAGCAGTGGAAAAAACAGACATAAATTCTTGTCCTCTTGGGGGCTTATTTTATTGGGGAAGACAAACATTGAATAAGTAAATTATGTTTATTTTTTTTATTTTTATTTTTTTAAAGATTTTTATTGGGGAATTGGGGGGATGGGGTAAAGTAAAAAAGGGACTTTTTCATTGTGTGGTCTTTGTGAAGATAATCGATTCCTCAAAGTAAGGAACCGTTAGACCAAGGGGCCGTGGTTGACCAAGTCAGACACTTTGTGTATATAAAGAGCATCTTCTAAGTACTAAAACTCAAAGTGAATATTTAGTATCAACTTTTTGTTTACTACATTTTACCTCGTGCTTGGCACAGAGTAGATATTCCATAAACATTTGTTTATTGTGACACCATTTTTTTGGATTAGTGATTTTTTCCACTGGGCAGAGGCCAAAGCAGGGGTGGTGCTTGAGAGACTTTCAGACTTGCTTGCAGCCCTATCAGGATAGATCCTTCTGAGTATGTGTGTGGATGTGTGTGTGCCTGTGTGTCCATAATGTCACCATTGAAAATCTCTGCAGAGTGAGTGATTGTTATGAGAGGGGTGTGTCCAGTTCCCAGATGACTTGGGCAGAGAACCACCAGTGCAGACAATATAGGAGACATGTTTTTTTGCTTTTAACATTTTAATAGGAGAGTCACATGCATCACTGTGGAGAGGGTGAATCGAACCTTTGGTGTATAATAAAGTTTTTAATAATGAAGTTCTGTTATGTAACCATATTCCTCCCTTTTTTCTTTATCTAGAAGATAACTTATATGAAGAATGTATAAAATCAACAAGTTGTCTATTTACCTGCTGTAAGGCACAGTGATGCCATAGGAAAAAGATAGGACTAAAGACTAAAAGGCCCATGTGGCAGTCTCAGGTCATTCATGGCAAGATAATTCTCTCAGCTTTTAAAAATTTTTCCTCATCTTTGGTTTTAACATATGAGATGAAGAAATTGTTTTTATTGATCTCAAATATCCTTTCTAACTCTAACATGGTAGGATTCTTGGAATGTGGTTATTACTGAGATCCAATAGGTAAGTGGCAATTTCTAAGACAATCTGGTTAAAATCTCCCATTTTTTCAGAGTACCTTTGAAGGAGTTTAACCCCCCGCGGGGTGCTGCTACAGGTGAGGAGGCAGCACGTGTCAGAAGTATTTCAGGTGGAGATATCTGAGTGAGACATAGAAAGGTTAAATCACTTTCAGGTTTGCCCAGGAACTTCCTCATAAGCAGGGAATAGAGTTCTGATGAGATCTGACCTTGCCATCTTTAGGCATGCCCATTATAAATGTCATCTGTCTTGGCCATTGTTCTTTGTAGTTAAGAGAGAGTTTTCATTAGACTACTGATTTGGCGGTCTGGGCTCATAGGGGATGTGGGAACAGATAGTCTAATAACCTCAGTATTGTTGTGTGTTGTAGCTTTTTCCTTGATCTTTTCCTTTGGGTTTTATTAGGGTTCGTAAGAAACAAAATTCATCATATTGGCTTTTTCTGTTCATCTCTCACTACCTCCTATCATTCTCCAACTTAGGCTGAAGCATGAGTTAGAGAAAAGGGAAAAATTGCAGCAAATAAGAAAATGAAGGCTCATAAAATCCATAAACGGTATAACCAGTCTTTGAAACAATGAGATTTTGCTAAATTGTATGAGAGTTACTAGATTTTGAAAATTATTCTTTTCGGAATTTCGGTTGATGAATTGGTGTTTTGAATTTGTAGGTTCTGTAAGAGTAAAAAGATAAATTTTAAAAATTACAAAACAGAAAACTTCATTTTCATTGTTTATCAGTCTAGAATTTGTCTTATATTCTTTTTTATTTGTGTAACAGTCAAGCAGAGAGGGCTAATGCTAGTCCTAACATCTATAATAATTTTATATAGTTCCATTTAATAATAATACTTATATGTGTAGCAGTGTGGTAAAAACATCTTGCAAAAAGTAATCATATATTGCAATTGCTACGCAATCCTAAGAGAATGTGTAGTAACTGTGCAATTTCAATTGTTTAAGAATTTTTTTAAAGAAAAACAATATAGGACTTCCCACTGACAGATAGTATTTGTCTTCAATGTGCTAATTTGTATTGTGAATTCCTGGG